GCTGGTGGCAGCGTGAAGGTCACGCCATGTCCCGGCAGCGTGCTCCGATGCTGCGGATCAGAGATGCCCGTGGGGATTGCGGAGCAGCATGGAGGTGACCCCGGCGCTTGGGGTCAGCGGGATGCGGCGTGTCAGCCCCGAGCGGCTCCATCCCAGCCGGGTGGGAGCAGGGGTGGCGGATTCCTGACCCACAGCTGAGCCTGGCATCTCCTCCGGCATCGCTGGGGACAGGGTTGAGTGGTGCCGCCCTGGCACTGGGAGGGCGGGGAGAAATGGGAACAAGCAGCAGAAAATGTGTGGTAGAAAATGTAAAGCAAAAAAAATCCCTTTTGTCTCGAGAGAGCAGCCCAGACCTTTTCTTCCTCCCTGAAATAGCTTCTCCTGCCACCCAAAAGGAGACAGAATATTTCAGAGGACGTTATTTTTGAGGATTTTTCATTTATTTATTTTTACCATAATCATGTGACAAAGCTTGAAACGGTTGTCAATGGCCTGATACGTGGGAAAATAAATATGCAAATACTGTCCCCGGGTGTGCCAGCAGGATTCCCCACTCTGTTTCCCAGTCCAGCCTGTGCCCGTTATCGGTTCCAGTCACTCATGCAGGGCTGCAGGAAATGCAATGCAGAAAAACGCCGGGTTTCTGCAAGCTGAAAACCTGCGGGTAAGCTGTGAGCCGCAGGGAGCTTTGCGGCGCCTTCCTCCCAGAACCTGCGTCGTTGTGCCCAGCGTTAACTGGAAGCAGATGCACACCCAGGGAGCCGCGGCGCTGCTGGTCCTGGATGGTGCCACGGGACAGTGAATGAGTCCAGGTGCAGGCTGGAAACAGAGAATCTTACCGGTGTCTCCCCACGTGCTGTGGTTTGTTCCCTCCGCTGTGACTGCCAACTGCGTCCTGGACACCTCGGGAAATCCCGGCGGCGGAAGGAACATGCTGTGACAGGGAGCTTTGAGCCGGGGGAGGAGGACACAGCCAGCTCGGGCTGCCGAGGAGCACAGACACGGGAGGAACCTCGGTGAATGTCATGTCTTCTACCCCTCTGGGCAGGGGGCAGCCCTCTGCTTCCCAAGTAAGAGCTCACCCCCACCATTAGACAACTGAAGAGTCGAGCTAACGGTGCTTCGTGGGGTTTGGGTGTTTGTCCACCAGGAAACGGGCCGGATCGACCTGAATGTCGCTCACACTGCAGAGGAAAGAGCTGCTTGCCAGAGCCCAGCACACCACCGACAGGCATCATCACCCCTGAGATGTGTTTTCTGCTGTGTGTGGAGGCAGATGTTTGGTTGTTTAAGAATTAAAATCATCTACCAGGGAGATACTTTTCTATAATGAGGCACGATTGGGAAGGATGTTATCAATCCATTTCTCAATGCAATGGAAGTGAGAGGCTTGGGAGCGAGCCCTGCGTGACTCACCAGGTTAGATGCTCTCCTTGCTTCCCTTGTCCTTTCTACTTAATTCTTTTGAAAATGATTCTTTGCTTCTGATTCTCTTTTCTCACAAAATCAGATTCTGATACAAATGGAGCAGGGCAGGAATGGGTTTATTTGCTATTTTAATACAAGTATCCACATATTTCTGACCACAATTTCTCATAAGAGTATAAAAAAAAGAGGTGAAAGGAGTTGTAGCTGCTTCAAAACACTTGCCAAAGTTTAGGTTCTGAAGGATTGATGGGTCTTTCTTGGCTGCTCATTGCACAGCCTCATCTTCTCTTATCAGGGTGTCAGAGTCAGCTGGCAAAGAGCAGATCTGCAGGCCCATGGGGAGAAATTAAACATCCAGGACAGACGTCGGTTCAGGCCCATGCAGTTTCAGCTGAAGCTCTCCAGACTGGTTTTGACCCGTTCCATTTCATGCAGAAAACTGTAGAACTGCGGCAAAGTTAACTCTGCAGAAAAAAAACCACGAGGCATCAAGTCTTAGATTTCAGGTTACATTTTCAGCATTGGAAGAGCTGTTGCGGTGCTACCACAGAGCAACTCGTGTTCACCTAAACTAGGTGGGATTAGACCACCACGACCCTCAGCAGCTGTTTCTGTACGCCAGCGGGGCTGCGCGCGGTTCTGGGCTAGGATTCTCCTCACAGCAACCCACACTTGGGAATCGCTTACTTTCCTCATCTGCTATGCTGCTCTGACCGCTTTTCACGGCTCCCCGGCATATCTGTATTAACTTATGCAACGATGTGAGGACTGCCCAACAGTCCGTGTTCCTAAATACTCCCAGAGTGACTGCGGCAGGGAGCGGCCAGGGCAGTTTGCCCCCAGCCCCCACCAGCAATGCTCTTGCCGTGACCGCTGATGAGTCTGCGCCCAAAGCTCCCCCACCTCCAGCAACACCCGGCAGCTCTGAGCTGCTGCTCTGCTTCCACACACTCGAATTCTGGCGTCTTTTCCAGAACTGCGAACTCACCCATATACACGTTCTCCGTTTGGCTCCCTTTTTTAATCACCAGCTTCAGCTGAGGGGAAGACAAAGCAAAGGTATTTTAATGCACAGACCTGTATTCTCAGCGCCATGAAAAGACAGAAGCACAGGGGTGTGCTCTGAGTGGCAGGCGGGCAGAGTGCTGCAAAGCACACGCGTCTGGGACAGGCTTTTGGGAAGTGTCGCTGTAGGAACAGATTCCTTAGGCACTGGGAGGATCTCTGGAAGTCTTCATAAACGATCACATTCCCCCTCCCTCCCCAAGATAGCGTGACCTTTGCTAGACTGAGCTTTTTGAACAGCTTTTCAGAGTGGGCTACGCTTCTGCGCTACATGATGTCTTCAGAAGAGAGACAAATAGCAGCGTGCCTGCTATCTGCTGGCAGTCGGACTCAGAAAACTGAAGCAGATGCACTGTTGCAGAGCTCGTTCCCATGAGCTCTCACTTTCTTCTAGCTCCTCTCCCAGCCAGCGCTTCCCACGAGCGCGGCCGGAGCTTGTTCCTTAACGGCACTACAACTTGAACTCTCTGATGTAGGAGGTTTACCTGTAAGAAGATACTTCCCACTTTTTCCAGTTCGCTGCTCCCAGCAGTCACTGTGAGTCAGAAAGAAGAGAAGGGAGATAATCTGTTAGCTAAACTGTGAAATAAGAAGTTATTTAGCTGAGAGCTGCTGTTGGGTTTCCCAGCCCATCCAGTTTATGTTTTAGCTCTATTACCTCCAAACTTCCACTCCATATCTATCAGCTGGTTAATCATCAGCGTCTGACCAACAGCCAGGCGTGTAAGGGTGGGGGAATTCACCTTCCACTGCCAGAGCGAAAGACACACAAGCAATCAGTTCAGAGAGGCCTCTGTTTATGTTACCTGCAATCTCAACGTCAGTCAGAAAGGAGGCAGGCTGATGGCAGAAGCCCAAAGCAAAGGTGTGCAAAGGGGCAACGTAACGTGGTCGGGAGGGCTTTCAGAGCTGTCTGAGCCCTGCTAGGATTTCCATCTGCCTTGTCACTTCTGTAAGAGAAACTCGCTGTTTTTGTTCTAACACTGGATCAGTGTAACAATATCTGCGCAAAATGTCATGTGTTGGTGTAACTGCCTGACCCCGGGGCTTGAGCATGCTAAGCAGGAAAGCAATCAAATGGCAGCCACACAGAAGTGCGGGAACCACTAAACCGAGGAGGCAGAGGCCACGGCAAACCAGATGTATCACCAGACAAAGTATTCCTCAGTTATCCGAGGATCTGCAGTTCCAAACTCTGAGCTGGTTTTGAAGAAAACACCCAAAGTGCTGACAGGTCTCAGCAGCACAGCAGGGTTTTACAAGGTCCTACTCAAAGACTGTCATTTTGTTAGCTTAGAAACAAGCAACAAATATATTATAAATACCTGTTCTGCAAAATAACTGGCCTTCTCTTCACTGAGGCCTGTGGGAGAAACCAAAGGAGATCACTATACGTGATAAATATTAATTATCTTTTATTTAGTGAAAGTCAGGTGACCTACCTAGAGCAATAAAATCTGCTCTGACTTGTTCAGAAGACAAATTCCTCTTCAGGGCACCTGAATAAACAATCCAAGGAGGAAAAATCACTTTTTACTGAGTCAAACCAATCTTTACTGAGTCATATAAACGCAGGGACGGAGACCCTGCAAGAGAAAGCCTCTGTTCCTGGGCTGTGTTTTGAAACAAACCACAGCTCCTCAAGATAGGAAATACAGTTGTGCCTGCTGGTGTCTTTGCAGATGCCCAGTGCTTTAAAAGTCAGGGCTCGGGGAGTGCCTGCGAGAGGGCGAGATTTCCCTGCACGTAGCCATGGAAACGGCGGCAGCGGTTGTGTTTTGAAGTTGCTGCCTTCTCTCCCATAGAAGCTTTGCTTGTTAAAGGAGAACTGTAAGGCTGGCAGGCTACTAATTTGACCTACCTGCTGTGTTTTGGATTATGGGTGTGAACGTGTGCATATAACACTTTCCCCCGCTGCGCCTGCCTCCTTTGTTCTGGGGCACAGGCAGCACATGGAAGTTTACAAGGATTCTGGTCTCTGAAGCCAAGAGCAGGAATCTCATAAATTCAAAGAGGCTGCCAGCCCCACGTGGCTTTCCGTCTGTGCAGCACATAGGCAAAGTGATCGGCTGTAATATGTTCCGGTACCGTCTGTGGCATCTCAGAGCTAACGACAAGTTACAACGGGACTGGAGCCAGCGCACGGGAACGGGAATGAGGAGACGGAGTGCACCCAGGCCAGGATCAGGAAGGGAGAAAAGGCCGAGTCCACATTAAACACCCCCAAGACAAAGGAAATGAAATCATTCACTGCTAGTCCTGGATAGAAGAAATGGCTCCAAGCAGCAGAACAAATTTAGACCAAATGCAGGAGACAGTGGGGCAGGGCTTCACTGCTGTGAAGGAAGCTACGGGGAGCCCAGGATCGAAGGGTAACAGCACAGGACTATTAATAACAGGGAGGATCAATGGGATGAACGTGCAGTGGAGGTGTTTGATGCATTATCGAGTCCAACAGCAGCCACAACATCAGAGTGATCTCCCAAAGTGCTGGAGCCTGGGGTATTCAAGGTGAATCCCTCTGCCTCTCTTCCCCACTATTTATGAATGAGAATCTGCTGGACACTAAAGTGTTTTTCTGAAACAAGACTGCAAGGAGAGATGTCTCCTTCATACAGCCTAGAACTACTGCGATTTCCAGCCCACTCTAGAGAGGTGTGCGCACTGTCCTACCTGTCTCAAACAGCGCTTGTCCTTGTAGGAGTTACAGTACTGGGTCACTTAGGAAGTTCCAGCAACGATTTAGTGCCAACGTAAGGCTGCGCTGGTCTGGCAAAGTGGATTTACAGGCAAAAGTTAAACCAGGTGCTGTGCTGTGCTTGCATTTAATGCATAGATATTTAAATGAGTTTTGTTAAGCCTGGGAAATGTGTGTGCAGGCAGCGCATAAAGAATACAAAGCCCAAGTCACCAAACGGATATTTCAACAGGAGAATTTTTCTCTCTTAAATGCTAAGCCATTTATTAGCTCCCATCAGCACTTATTGTGCAAACCAAGCCCACTGCCTTCTGAAGACACACTTTAGCACCATGCAGGAACGGACCATGCAGGAGTTTGGCCTCAGGGCAGCATATGCTAATGTATCACTTACCGTTTGGTACCAGAAGAATACTTTTGACAATGTTCTTCAGGGGGCCCAAGCTGATTTTATTCATGGTGGCAAAGTCCGAGAGCTGAGTCAGAAACCTTTCTACCTGCTCAAGAGAAAGAGCAGCGACACAATCTTATCTCTGCGACACAATCTTATCTCTGCGTGTTTCTCACCAGACAGCTGCATTCACAAGCTTCTCCGGGGCACTCTGCACATCCCATACCTCCTTGGGCTCCGTTAGAAAGTGGAAGAGCACTTCAGTCAGCGCTGAGAATTGCTGTGAAGGAACAGGACAGGGTTACAGAGGCACCAGCACACCACCTCATTTCTCGGCGCCTTGCCACCCCCAGCACCACCACAACTAGGTGGTGACAAACACAGCTCCACCTGCCTCCAGCGCACCGGTCCCAGAGCTTGCCCTCCCGTGCTGGCACAAGATGCCTATGGAGCGGGTTTGCTCACGGATGCTTCTCAGAGACTCTCAAAGGGTTTGAGCAGCTGGTAGCTGGCACTGCACAGGGCTTTTGTGACTCTTGGCTAATCGGAAGCTGCTGTTCTGTGTAATCCAAAAACTGCGAGTGGGAAAAGATGCGAGCATCTACCCTCATGTTTCATAAACCCCATGGGGTAACCAGACTAACTCGGGAAGGAAAGGAACTGGGTACAGGTCTAGTCGCTGCCTTCAGTTTTCTGCGTGTGCGGCCAGCAGGGCTGGAGAGCCTGCGTGCAGGGCTGAGCACCGCCACCCTCCCTCCTCCGCCGCACCAGCGCTGGCCGGACCTGGGGCTGGCTGGCTGCTCTGCTGCTGCGCGAGGCTCGTCCTGTCCCCCCTTGTTGTCAGCCGTGGAATGGAGAAGCCACCAGGCATCACCCACGGCTCGGTCAAGCTGAGCTAAAAAATCCACAGCTCTTCCACCAGCTCCAGCAAAAGCTGAACCAGCTTCTGAGACACAGCCAGTGTGCTGGCCACCCGGAGGCAGAGATGGACCACCGACCGGGACAGCAGCGTGCCGGGGTGGCAACCACGACCCGCTGCGCAGTCCCATGGAGTCAGGACCCACAGCCCACACAGGGCAGCACGAGCCCCTCCATCGTC